GTCATGATGGCCAAAGATCTTCATGATGACCTCTGATGGTCCTCTTGAAGGCTTCTAAGGGCCCTCACAACGATTTCCACAGTGATTCCACCCGAGACGGTCCCTGAGGGCCCTCACGACGACCTCTATCATCTATGGGCCCTCACGACGACCTCTAGGACCCAATGCAAGCTTCAAATGCCCACGCTGGCGTCTAAGGGCCCCACGACGGCCTCTGATCTGGCCTCAACGCAGGCAGACTGCAGGGGTCATGCTGACCTCTGAGAGTCCTGTAACGAAGGCTCCAAGGGCCCACGCTGGCCTATATGAAGAACCCTACGACGGCCTCTGGAGGGCCTTAACGCAGGCAGGGGACATGCTGGCCTCGGGGCCCCGCGAAGATTTCAGATTCAGAGGCCCTTCACAACGACCTTTGAGGGCCTTACAAAGGTCTCTGAGGGCTTACGCAGGCTCGTGGGATTCCACACTGATTGTCAGGTCCCATGTAGGCTTGTTGAGACACTGTATCCGCTCCTGGTGCCCCTTCGCCGGCCTCTGAGAGTCACAACACCGGAACTTCTTGGCCCTACACCGGCTTTTAGGACCATTACATCGATCTTGGTACCCACGACCCATCAAATATGTGTCCAAGCGGCTTCTAAGAATCCCCATGCATGTTCCACGGACATGAAGCCGAATTTTTGGGCTCACACGCGAGCTCTTGGGACCCCATGCACGCTCCAGGGACCTACCTGCCTCCAAGAGCCTCACACATACTTTTGGGGCCCTAACGCTTGCCCCTGAAGGCCCCACTCGGACTTCTACCCTTTCCTCCACACCGGTTCTTTAGGCTAAACATCAGCTCCTTTGGCCTCTATCCCGGTTTTTGAGGGCCTCCATGCAGGCTTTTTGGGTCCGATGCCGGTCTTTGAGAACTTTCCAGACTCTCGAGCCTACGCTGCTTTCTGAAACCCTTCAGCACCTTCTGAGGAACCGACCCTGGTCGTGGACTCATTCAATCTGAGAAGTCGTGAAGGCTTCTGGAGGAGCCTCCATTGAGTCATTCAGTTTCCAGAGGTTTTTTAGCGGTCTTGTAAGAGCGGACCGTAGGGCTCTCAAAGGTCCACTGCGGATCCAGAAAAGTGGTTTGAGGCTTGCGGGTGGTGGTTAGCATAAGGAAAATCACCCAGTAAAAAAAAACTTGTTGCATTTCACTTATTTAGGTATGCCGTGATTTTGTTAGGTTCCCTGAAATATGCAAACATTTTGGATAACTTCCTGTATGGATTGTTTCCTTAACCCGCGCCCCGCTGGGCTATTCAGCCATACGCGCCCTGCTGGGGGGGGGGGGCAGATTCTGCCCCCCCTGTCTAACTTCCGAACCGATGGTCGTAGAAAGACGGGGAAAACGGCAATCGAAAGCTCTCAACAAGGCGGATCTTAAGAGCACAAATTTTTTTGCTTAAGTAGGTCAGAGGTCAGGTCAAGGTCAGGTCAAGGGTACAAAATGCAAGTTTCTACAGTATCGGCCTTGCACCGTAGTTGCCGAAGAATGGACGGAGACTGATTGCCCAAAACGTGTTCTTAGACTACCAAGACAATATTCGTTGCACACAATGTCATTCAAAGGTCAAGGTCAAGGTCAGGTCAGGTCAGGTCAGGTCACCAAAAACAAAATATAGAAAAGGGCATGTGCGACACATGTTTTATGGGTCATTTTACTCATGGAATTCAATAGGCACACTCAATAAGTGATATGGACCACCTCTGGATGAATTTCAGGTCGAGGTCAGGTCAAGGTCAGGTCAAGAGGGGTCAAATTTTGAAGTTGGTTGTTAAGGCCTAAAAAGGTGTCTATCCGATGCAGTTTTTCACGGCAAATCGAATGGTGCTATTTTTATTTCCGTACGAGGTCTAGAACTTCCAAAAAAATCATTTTTAAAAATTTTTGTGTGTCGTGACGTCATAAAATTTTGAATAACTCCCACATTTTTTAACCGATTCTTCTAAAAATTGGTATGTAGGTGCACATAGACCACTTCTTTGACATATAATCCGTTTTTTTCGATAAACTCAAAATTTTGGATTTTATAAATATTTTCCCAAAAAAGTCAGTTTTTTGGAAAAATTTTGGCCTAAATCCAAAATTTTCAAAAAACCGAGATGGCCATTTGATAGACAAAGTAGAATCACGTATAACCTTTTTTGTTACGTCCTGATTCCTTTAAAAATGAAGAAGTTAGCGGCGTTAGAAATTTTGCCGTTTTTTAGGCGAAAATGGCGAACATGACGTCACTAAAACGTCAATTTCTCAAAAATTTTCCGACGGATTTCGCTCAAATTTTCAGGGAACGTGTCAAATTGATGTATGATAAGGTACTGAAAGTTTGACGTCGCTGGCGTAACGCGTTTAGAAGTTATTGGCGAAAAACGGGAGGGGGGGCAGATTCTGCCCCCCCCAGCGGGGCGCGGGTTAACTTTTGGTTTTCATAAATCGATGATTGACAGCTTGAAAAAGTAAAGGGGCCCAAAACCTTTAGTGGGGCACCTTGAGAAAATTTTGCATCCCCATCCAAAATTTATCTTACATTCCTCCCAGTGCGGGGGCGGATACAAGGCCGTATTAAGGCGGCCGCACACTGGGCCATTCGGCGGGCGATATTCCGCAAAAGCGGAATGTCGCGTCGATGCTAATAGCGGAATTCCGGCCGCCGCCGCCGCGACATTCCGCTACCGCGAAGGCTGATACGGCAAGTGATTCGGATTAGCGACATTCCGCAGAGTCGGGTCAATAGTTTTTTAATTAGAATATATCTAAAATTGCAGTTGCAATTGACGTTTTATCATGATGTACTGCTATATAGTTTGCTACTAAACTTATATCAAATGTTTTTTTATTGAAAGATACACCAAAAAGGATCAATTAGTGTAGTTTAATTTATTTTTAAAAGTTGTTGACACAAGGTAAACAAATAACGTAGACAAACGATTGTCCAATCTTTCCTTGCACGATAAATAGTATTGCTATCAGCGTAAAATATTTTAACAATTGATTAGCTGGCTGCCCTATATTTGTATACTTATAAGTCGTTGTCTTGTTCCATTCTCTTTTATAGTCGTTCTTGTTCTCTATCGTTCTTTCTTGTTCAATTCCTTATCAGAGCGTTTGATTTGCTCGTAAAACATGAGTCCTCGAAACCGTCCGAGGCCGGGAGCCCCGCGCCGGCAGCGCCTGCAGCTGGCAGCCATTCGACTGCTCATCCTGCTCGAGGCAGTCCAAGGTTTGGAAGGCGACCAAGGAGGCCCGAGTCCCCGACGGCGAGAATGGGTGACTGAGGTACTACGGAGACGCCGGGAGCTCGGCGAGTACCACAATCTCGTCCAGGAGATGAGACTGTCCGAGCCGCAACGTCACCTCCAGTACTTTCGGCTCACCAAACATGGCTTCGACCTACTCCTCTCCCGCATCGACCGACGCATCAGGCGACAAGCTACCAACTTCCGGTCGCCGATCAGCCCAGGAGAGCGCCTTGCGGTCACCTTGCGCTATTTGGCCTCCGGCATGGAATTCGCGGCGTTGGCTCCTACCTACCGGCTGGCAGAGGCGACCTGCCGCGCCATCGTGTACGACACTTGTCGCGCCATCATCGCCGAACTGGGGCCTCAGTACCTGCCGCCACCGACCAACGCCATCTGGACCGCTAGCGAAGCTAAGTTCAGCGAGAAATGGAACTTCCCAAACTGCGTGGCAGCCTTGGATGGGAAGCATGTCTTCATGCAAGCGCCCGCCAACACCGGTTCAGCCTACTTTTCCTATAAGGGCCAGTTCTCCATGGTCCTGATGGCAGCAGTCGATGCAGACTACAACTTTTTGTACGTCTCAGTCGGCAGCGCGGGGAGGGAGAGTGACGGCTCCATCTTCCGCTCACTGGACCTCGGCCGGCGTCTGGCAGACGGCAGCCTGCACCTGCCTGCCCCCAAGACACTTCCTGGAACAACCACGTCTCTGCCGCACGTCATCGTAGCCGACGAGGCTTTTCCACTTTTAGAAAACGTCATGCGACCATATCCAGGCCGACGGGAGTCGAGGATGGGCCTGGAAGCCACCATCTTTAACTACAGGCTGTCCCGTGCTCGGCGCGTGGTCGAGAACGCGTTCGGCATCCTGGCACAAGTGTGGCGTCTGTACAGACGCCCGCTCAACGTAACACCTGAGCACGCACAGCTGCTCGTCATGACGACGTGCGTGCTCCACAACTTCCGACGGAGCGGAGACGTGGAGGGGCTGCAGCTCGGAGGAGTCGGCGAGGATCCAGGACTGGTCGGCAGCGACGAGACGACGCCTGGGCTCGCCGACCTCCGCGCGGCCCTCGGTCCCAACAACTACACCCGGAGCTCCGAGCGAGTACGGGAGGAGTTTAAACGGTACTTCATGACAACAGGGGCCGTGGAGTGGCAGTGGCAGCAGCACGGACGGCACTGAACCAGCTGCTGGCTCCGCGACACCCCTGTCGTATCGGACCGCTCCACCGCTTACGATGACGTGCGGCAGAGACGTGGTTGTTCCAGGAAGTGTCTTGGGAGCAGGCAGGTGCAGGCTGCCGTCTGCCAGACGCCGGCCGAGGTCCAGTGAGCGGAAGATGGAGCCGTCACTCTCCCTCCCCGCCTGCCGACTGAGACGTACAAAAAGTTGTAGTCTGCATCGACTGCTGCCATCAGGACCATGGAGAACTGGCCCGTATAGGAAAAGTAGGCTGAACCGGTGTTGGCGGACGCTTGCATGAAGACATGTTTCCCATCCAAGGCTGCCACGCAGTTTGGGAAGTTCCATTTCTCGTTTAACTTGGCTTCGTTGATGGTTTAACTGGCGGCAGGAACTGAGGCCCCCCTTCGGCACTGATCGGGATGATGTCGGTTCTCACTGCCGTGTAGTGTTCCATCGGAACGTTCATTGTGCCGTTATGTCGTGTTGTTCGTCTGTATCGCACATTATGCTCAGCAAATATTACTGATTTTCGACACTAACCGGTTTTTCTTGGTTTATGAACCTCATGAGGTGGAAGTGGAACCTTATATCTATGTACATTCTACAACAAAGGGCGTGAAGCGAAAATGTATTGTTTTCCACATAAGTTGATAGAAATGGAAGGCCAATGAGCAAATCAAAACGTTTGAACACAACCGTACACACAAACAAGCCCCCCCCCCCCCTCCCCCTAAAAAAGGCAATGGCGTTGGGAATTGATCATAGGACACCGTGGCAATATTAAAATTGCATCGATAACAAGAGATATGGAACAATACTAATGAAGTTGGTCATCATAACACCATTACAGATAGAACAACTATGAATGAAGAACATCATTTCGAAAACGAATTAACCCTAGCCGGCACAGGCCATTTTGAGTCCTTCGACGGCACAAGGGGGGGGGGGGTTGGTACGACCCCCCCTCGCGTTTGGCCCCTGATCGAGCTAGAGCTTCGCGGAAAAAACGAGCGTGTTGCCCGTCACGAGAGGAAGCCGATGATACCCAATTTTAAGGTCCTAGGTCATCGGGTGACCTTCCAGGTCAGGTCAATGACCCGAAAACCGGGAAAATCGGGACCTGTTAGAAAGTCGTAAAGTGTGGCTGCCATGTGGTTTTCCGGGGTGCTGATCACGAATATCGTGTTAGTTTTGATCATAGATGATGTCTTTAAGCATTTAGACCAGGTCGGATCAGGTCAGGTCAGGTCAACCGGTAGAGGTTGTGACGGGTATTCGTAATACGTGTCAACCGCCTCGGACAGCTTCGTAACATGTTACGAAGGCACCAAAACTACTTCGTAAATGTTCAAATGGTTGCTAAATTCGAACTGAGCTCCAAAAACTAGTCTAGAAACATGTAAAACTCGAAGAAGTGAACCGAGGTCACCCGAGGTCACCAAAGGTCAATGACCTGACCTGACCTTCAGGTGACCTTGAAACCCACCCTAATGCATGGGAGCAACATCAAATCACATGTTTGAACGTTTGAAACCACGAAAAGCTTGCAAACGCGCGGCTAATGCGAGCCGACATGCGCCGAACCGCGATTTCGGCCAAACATGGTCACAGAAAGAAGGTCACAGGTCAAAGGTCATTGGGGTCAGGGTCATGAAATTTTCAGGGTAGGTGTAAAATTGATCAATGCGAGGGTACTGAAAGTTTCGTCGCGATCGGCCGCTTTTTACGCGAGTTATTCGCGAAAAACCTTAGGGGGGGGGGTTGCATCAACCCCCTGTGTGCCGGCGAGGGTTAAGAACACAACAACATTTCATATTACATGTAGAAATAAACAAGATGAGGCTAACAGGAAAGGGAATGGTAGGTCCGGAGCGAAATCAGCCGTAAACTATCCGACAAATAGCTGCCTGAATTCTCCGCATTTCCTCGGGTGCACGGGTTCGGAGCTCACTTGCTATTGCATCGCAGAATAACTGCGCCTGGTCACCAGGACCGCGATCAGCCTCCCCCATGTCACGCAACGCATTTACAATTTCTGCAAGGAGTGGGGAAGGCGCTGCTGGTGCCACACCTGCCCGCGGCCGGGCCCGGCGTGCCTCGCGACGAGACGTCTGCTCTGCGGCTGTTCCGGGCGCCGGCTCCGCGGCCGTTCGGGGCGCCGGTGTCGCGGCCGCTCGGGGCGCCGGCTCTTCCGTCAGTCGGGGCGCCGGTGCCGCGGCCGCTCGGGGCGCCGGCTCTGCCGTCAGTCGGGGCGCCGGTGCCGCGACCGCTCGGGGCGCCGGCTCTGCCGTCAGTCGGGGCGCCGACTCTGTGGCCGTTCGAGGCGCCGGCTCTGCCGTCAGTCGGGGCGCCGACTCTGTGGCCGTTCGGGGCGCCGGCTCTGCGGTCGGTTGGGTTTCCAGATCAGTCATCGACAGGGATGCCGATAAACCGTCCAGATTATCTCCTTCAGTCTGTGAAAACACAAATGAACTACAAGTGAGCTCAAATGAACGATAGGCTGACCTTGAAAGGTCATTTTGAAAATTTGACCGCAGGTCAAGGTCATAACCACACCGGAAAGGGTCATGCTGCATATCAGTCGATCCGTATCGTTGAGCTGAACACATCTGACGTATTTTCACCGTCTTTATCAAAAGCTATAGTAAAAAAAAAACTGCTGATGACCTTTCATGACCTGAGATGACCTCAGGGGCACACAGAGGGGTCAGGGGCGCAATTTCCCGATCCCGTGTGTCATGTTTACCCTATAAACCAAAGTTGAGTGTTAAGAACGACATTTGTCCGAAAGAGGCGCATTTCAATTTCTCCCCCATTTACTAAAAATGGAGAGGTCGCAAAATTGACCTAACCTTAGGTCACAGACATCGAAATTACGAGATATAAATTTTGTAATTTTATGCATACTGTTACTATTATCAATCCCTGAAAGTTTGAAAGTGAACGTTCCGTCGGTATAGCTACAGCGGTCAGCGAGCCTTTGAACTCCTGATGTAGGGTCACTTGACGTGACCTGGTGACCTGACCTTGAACGACCCCTGTCTGAAATTGTCACATGTGCGGAAAAGATGTATGAACAGGTGAACCAAAACGGCGTTTTGCCAGATATTCGCGAAAAACGTGAGGAGGGCGCGTCAAAAACGCCTTCCCCCAGCACGGCGCGTCACTACCACACCACCATGGCAAAGCTGGCTGGGACCCCACCCGGGCTCGAATTTTATACAGCTAAAATCGCTCACCCGCTACGCTCGCTACCTGATTGATCGTTGATCAGAGTTAGAACACTTGGTCTCACCTCATCGTAGGTCACTTCCAGGGTGCTCAAGTAGGTTTCAGCGTCGAAAGAGCTGCTTGGCGTGGCAGGATCGCGGTGCTCAGGAGTTGTTGGAGATGGGGATGGGATGTTCGTCAGAACACTGTGTAGAGGATTTTGTGATCAGTTTTTCCAAAATGTACGTTTTAGGTTTGCATGGAGCAGCGAGGCAATGAACTCACAGGAAGGTATTTCGATTCGAAGCTATTGAGGCGCGAGAAACGAGTGATTTGGCGTTTCACTTTGCAGTTAACATGTGCAGGTGACAGCTCATTCCTTCTACACCAATCAGTAATGAGCGCAACTGAGATGGGAGCTTACCTCTTCGGCTGTACGACAGGGTCCAAAAAGCTGAGCGCCCGCAGATAGGAAGATGAGTCTCCACTTCCAGCCGTGGCCCCAGAGCCACTTCGAGGTTTGGCCAGTTTTCTTGATCTATAATCTTTTATATTTTTCCAGCGCGTGGTGACATCTTTCACTGGAACACAATAGTCAAGACTCAAGAAAACTGATTCACCTTTTAACAAGGCTCAGGTAGGCTCCTAATAAATCTTATATAAACTATATAGGCTTATATAGACTTAACTAATCATTTGATCATTTGATCAATGATGTATTGAATCAAATTGAATGTATTTGATTCAAATAAACCAAATGATTTATTTGAAAACATCATAAACAATCATTTGTGCATCGTAACCTTGAACACGGCAACATTCTGGTTCCACTGGTCCTCAACGCACATCTTACGAGGCCTGCTTTGTGCATAGTCAAGGGTTACTCCAAACTGTTTCCAAACACCTCGACTATTGCACAGTTTTATCAGTAGTGTTAAGAGCAGCGGGAAGTCATGAGCCATCACCAAAGTATCGAAGCTTATTGTAAGTACCTACTTACCCGATCTTCCCGTTTCCACGGCAACCTCTTCCCATGTTCGCTTTTTTAATTTTGCTAGCTTGTATTCCGGGGACGTTATATCCCACAGACACCGGCGTTTTAACCCGCCGGTCCAATTTTTAATACTGCACGACTTGCGCGACCTCTATAAAATGACGTCCTGCCGTATTCAATGCGCGGATGGGAGCGCCACCTGTAGGAGCGGTTCGCGAGCGGTGGTCACTGGTCAGGTGCGCAGGACACGCCACATGACATAAAAATGCAGGTGCAGGTGGCAGCCAATGATGTCTGTGGGGCTGGTAGACAGAATCGAAATCTGTAGGAATTACACACCAAAATGCCCAGGCTTACAGGAGGAAATGCTATCAGTGATACTTGCATGCCAGGATATTGATAGTATGTGCATTCACTGTTTTGCAGGCATATTTAGGGTGCTCATTAGGGTAGACCGGGGCAAGTCGCCCCGCCGAGGTAAAACGCCTCACCGATGTTTCTCGGAACTGGCAGAGTTCTGGGGAAACATCCTCTCTTCTATAAAACGTGCACTATATGATCATTATATGAGCAGACTGGAAAGAAATTGTGATGACTCTTTCGGGAGATATAGCCAAAAATGTGTTTTTTGAGTGATTTTTATGTTTTGTTGTCAGATTATGCATCATGGCGTTCTTTTATGGTCCACATCAGGTTAACGACTTTTATGTATTTTGAACAACTATTGTCTAACGCTTATCATGCCGGGTTGGTTCGTGTTAAATTATGTCTTGCTGGAGTGCAAAGCGTTGTTCTCTGACCGAACTACGTGATGGGGTAAAACGCCCCAGTAGGTCGCGGGGCAAAAAGCCCCATGGGGCGTTTTACCTCATGTGTTGTTCGGGCTACCCACTTTCTAATGTTCGGTAGCTGGCGAACAGTAAGTTTCTATGCCTTTATGTGTATTTTTCTCAGCAACTGGATGGCAAAGGAAGTATTCTGTAAACATTTGCATTGCAATAATTTATTATTTGGTCTTATGAGGCAGGTGAAAAACCTGCTCATACAATAGTGGCATGGCTGAACACCTGACAGGATGGAATGTGCTAACTTCAGAGCCGTGCCTCCAGAGGTCTAACGGACCTCTCACATAAGATTAAGCCAACTACCATGTTAAATCTGTAATCTAAAGTATGGGGCTACTTGCCCCAGGCCGTGGGGCGTTTTGCCCTGGGGTTGGGGCAAAATGCCCCATTTGCAGTTGCTTCACAAATCACTTCCTAGCTTGGAGTTCATTCATAAGTGAATGAATTTGAGGGGTGCAATTTAAAGTAAAATGTCCAAAGAACGCATTGAGCACAAATTTGGCCTTCCAGGTGATGTGGGACAGAATTTATGTAGCAAAATAAATTATCTGGGGCGTCTTGCCCCAGGCTACCCTATTATAAAATAAAAATAAAATATAAGTTTGCTAGTTGATCTAGCGAAGGGCAAATGGGGAGGGGGATTTTGGGCAAATGCCCATACAGCGACTGAAAATGGGAAATATTTACTGTATTTTGTCCAGAATGTATACAAATTTAAAACAGATTTCTTAGCAACTTTACACAAACTGCAGAGCAGTCATGGACAAATAATCAAAACCAGAGTATTTTGTAAATTTGGTGAACCTTAGGGGGTATGCACTAGGCATCTTGGCTACTACAGTGTTTGACTTGACTCCAACACCACCTTTCTGGATCTGTCAGCGGCATCTGGTAAGAGCCTACAATATGCATGAGTCACTTGCAGATCAAGAGCATTGGAGCATTTTAATTTAAGATGGGCAACCCACTCCAGCATCAAAATGCCTATTTGTCCCTCTCTCACAAAGTTAGTAAACTAAGCAGCTTAACTGTGTGTTAGAACTTTCTGGTATGCCTCATAGCAAGGTAAACCATGGATGTCAAATCCAATTAGTTTTTTATATTGAATATCCCATAGGGAAGAAGCGTGCTTCAAGGGCGGTGCCACCGTGGGGCCAGTGGGGGCATACTGCCCCATTGACAGGAGGCCGTGGGACCAAGACTATGTTTTTGCCCCCACAAAACCTGGCTGATGTTGAAAAGGGAACAGAAGACCTGTGCAATATTCCTGATAGGATAGGATGTGATGATGCAAACAAGGCTATAAAACTCCTATGCAAAGCTGTGGTGGTGTGATGATGGCAAAGAAATTCCTTTAGTTGTCATAACCTTTCATTCATCTTTGGGCGTAGGAACCTCACGATAAGTGCGGGGGTGGGGGGAGGCCGGAGGGGAAGGCCAGTGAAACTTCAATGTCACTTAATGGGAGCCCAATACCCCTATGAAGAAATTATTTGCAGTTTTGTACTCATCTTGCCTTGCTGAACCATTTCCTGCTCTTAGTTATGTATTTAAATCAAAAATAAATATTTCACTATAAAAATGGCTGAAAAGTGGGGGGCATGGCCCCCTCCCCAGCTCCTGTTCTTATGCCTATGCAGCTTCATCTGGACAATTTTAGATGGCAATGGCTATGGACAAGGTAAGATTGGGCCCAGGGTCCAATCTTACCAATGCTGGAAATAGGATTTGGCAGCACTGGCCGGAGTTAACCGCACTGATAGAATAAATATCCTATTTATTTGCATCAAGCTAATCTTGCCCAGTGACTTTGATAGCGTGAATGATTATGAATGTTGCCTGAACGAATGAATATAAGATTGCTGAAAGGTTATTAATGTCACCAAATGCCGTGATTGCGCATTCACAGCATTTGGCAAGATTGGGCACTGGATTCTGCAGATTATTTTTTTGAGATCAGGTTGTATGTGGCTAACAGCTTGACATTGGTATGGCATTGACGTCAATGTTGATGCTACGCTGAATCAACATAATTGTGCTACTAGGGAACATACAACTTCACAACTTGATACAATGTGAAAAATTTGACAAATTGGTGGATCTAGGTTAACAAAAATAGGAGGCAATTTTGAGGTACTATTAGAGCAGACATTACATAAAGGTTTTCCAACCAGGGTGAGGTGGCATACCTGGAGCTGCTTCCTTCTAACCAATCCAAAACAAACCTAACCCGACCTAACCTAGCCTAAAACTTCAACCAACAACCCTACAAACCTACAGCGCCTCTCCTTGGTTGAAAACCCTTCAAGTGACTACTGCCAATTTTGAATGTCTTGCTGCAAATTTCATTGAGCATCAAAAATGCAATAAATACCTACCTACTTGTTTTCCTTTAGAACTTCAAGTACTTCAAAGCACCTGCTATAACAATAAGCAGCGAGCATTGGTCTGGAATCATGCACTCTTCATTTGATGTTTTGAATTTGCAGAGCATAGAACAAACAGAAATAAAATTGAAAAAAGAATATCAGATTTTCAATTAGTTTGAGAATATAAGACAGAAATGAAAAATGCAGTTAAGCATTCGCTAGTCCCAACAACAAAATGAGTCTCAATACCCTGCAATAATGGCCGCCAATATAAAGACGTTTCCTGCTATTTCCTTAGGCGAATATGAAAAATATGCATGACAAAAGTATTATTCCGCTTGGTACATCACGATAGGCAGGTAATACGCATTTAAAAATAAACAGGAAAACGTAACTCACTTCATCTCATCCAAAAGTGTTGCTCCTTTCCACACCACCTTGCTGCCCAGGGGGTGTCGAAGTCTAGTAGGAAAATCTGGCAAATTCCCTGCGTGACGTCACGTCGGGACTGACCGATGGCACTTTGCACTGAAGGATACGGCGGATTGGCTATTTTTGAAAAATGATTAAAAATACTTATGTGCTGTTATGACACATAAAACGCTTATCAGCATGTCCCTCATCATGTGATAAAGCCATATCCGTGGTCGAAAATAGCTGAGCCCCTCCCAATTTCCAACCACCGACGTCATAAGCAAAGGATGTAAGCGTAATCCTTAAGGGCGACTTTCCAATACATATCCGTACATATGCGTCCTTATGGAAATCGGTAGTGTGGCGATTGGCGACGCGCGCGACATCTGTGTGGCGACCAAGTGGCGACTGTGGCGACACCTGGTGGCTGCTTTTCTGCTGTATGTAGGCATTGGGGTTTTGCCAGATATGGTTCCTACTGCTACACAACTATGTTGACCCAATACTAGAAAGTTATTTTGCCAGTAAAAGGCAAGCAAATTGAAAGTCAATTTATAAAATTGCTTATAAATGATAACGAGAAAATAATAAAGAAGTTTTGATTGAATAGTTATTAAAATACCCAACCGGTAAACTATATTCTGGTAGATTTAGTAGAAATTAGTCCGTGCAACCTTGTATTTAGGGCCTTGTTGCTGCCGATCCGCGGAAAAAGCTGGACATGTTCAAGGCCCTAAATACAAGGTTGCACGGACTTATTTCTACTAAACCTACCAGAATATAGTTTCACGGTTGATTATTTAAATAATTATTCAATCAAAATTTCTTCATTATTATCTCGTAATCATTTATAAGCAATTTTATAAATCAACTTTCAATTTGCTTGCCTTTTACTAGCAAAATAACTTTTCTAGTATTGGGTCAACATAGTGGTGTAGCAGTAGGAACCACATCTGGCAAAACCCCAATGCCTACATACAGCAGAAAAGCAGCCACCAGGTGTCGCCACAGTCGCCACTTGGTCGCCACACAGATGTCGCGCGCGTCGCCAATCGCCACACTACCGATTTCCATAAGGACGCATATCGAGGGTTCCGAGCAAGACAACCCTAAGTGTTGTTTTTTGAATTTTACAGGAGAAGCAAAAAACTGAATTCTAATTCTGTTTGTTGAGCCAGTGCAACGATACATCGCGTGTTGTGCAAGTAGGGAGCGCGCAATGTTATGACACCAAAAAAATGTTATAAAATACTCACTGAGAGGGAATGCCAGGCACTTAAGTTCTTCTTGCTCACCAGAATGTCGACTCCGGCTACACAGTTCACATGCAAGAACAACCTAACCGTCGAAGCAAAACACTAGCTTTGCGTCACTAAAGCTGTAGTTATGGCTGTAAGTGTGGCCAAACACTGCTACGTGATGCACTGCACCATGAACTGCAACATTGAACTGTAACATTGAACATCGAACTGCAACAAACGCTGCACTGCTACGCTCCCTGCGGTGTCCTTCCTCTCACTCTCTCACTCTCACTCCTCTTCCCCCGGATCGTCGATGTCACTCTCCGGGAGAATGTCCTCCTGCCGCGCCGAGTGCGGCAAGCTCCTGTACTCCGCTTGGAACGGCTCCGGGATGTTCCCGTCGTCACAGAGCTTGATCAGGTCGCGGTACTTTTCCGCACTGATGGGCAGCCGCTTGCTGTAGAGCTGCTTTGGCTTGATGGCAGGCGACGTGTCGCCAGGGTGTCGTCCTCGACCTCGTCCAGCCTGGATCCGGATGCTCTTCTCTTGGTTGTTGTAGTCTACCTATCTCTACGTTGACCTCTGGTTCGCCACGAGTGATAGTCACCTTGCTTATGTTCTTCCAGGGCCCGCTTTCGGTGAGGCATCGGCGCTGGATCGACTGCCAATCGGTTAGGATTAGGATGTTCGGTTACGGTTAGGACGGTGTTAGGACGACGGTTAGGATGTTCTTGCCTGAACTTTAAGTGTCAAAAATGTCACTTAGGTTGTTCTTGCACTCTATATCTCAGCACAGGACGCACTCAGCGGTACGGCTGTTCTTGCATCCGACGCGGCTCGTCGAGCTGATTCGACTGGTATATTTAACTCAATTTCGAAAAAAATGACACTTAGGGTTGTCTTGCTCGGAACCCTCGATATGTACGGATATGTATAGGAAAGTCGCCCTTAAGGATTACGCTTACATCCTTTGCTTATGAGGTCGGTGGTTGGAAATTGGGAGGGGCTCAGCTATTTTCGACCACGGATATGCCTTTATCACATGATGAGGAACATGCTGATAAGCGTTTTATGCGTCATAACAGCACAAAAGTATTTTTAATCATTTTTCAAAAATAGCCGTTCTGCCGTATCTTTCAGTGCAAGGTGCCGTCGGTCATCCCCGACGTGACGTCACGCAGGGAATTTGCCAGATTTTCCTACTAGACTTCGACACCCCCTGGACATGTTCAAGGCCCTAAATACACGATAATGACAGGTGACTCGCTCGGGATACTGCCGTCATTCTTTTCTTTTGTAGACTTTAGCTTCTATCCTGGATAGCCTCGGTACGTTTAAAACCCCAAAACCTGTGTCATCCACACAGCGCTTGCAGTCCCTTTAAAACAGGTTTGCACTATATCCAGATAAAGTCCGCCCCTGGTCGGTCACACAGAGTAAAAAGAGCACCACGAACACGTAACCTTTCGCCGTGCCGACCCCGCTCGGACCGATAACGCCCAGAAAAACGACACCGTTCGTATGGTAAACAGACGACTCCCCTCGGCGGCCGGAAACGGGCGGGCAACTCACCGGTCGAACACACAGGCGCCCGCTGACTTGCGGTATTAGTTTCCAATAGAGCGGGTTGGCCCGTTAGTTACGCTCCATCAGAAGGCATTGTGCAGCGGGCCGGCAGGGGAGGCCGGGTGGGGTGCTGAACGTTGCGGTTCCCCTGTCCGCCCCTCCCACACACCGGTAAACCACCGTTCCGCCGCGGCCAGATTGACCGACGCACGGGTGGACATGTTCAGCTTTTTCCGCGACATCGCACCTGACCTTGGCCCGTCCGCGCGCATGCGCACTCTGTCCGTAAACAGCTGCCTGCCGACCTTAAACTGCCGCTTTTCTCGTTTCGGCGGCTGATTCGGCGTACGCAAAGGCGGAATGTCGCCCGCGACATTCCGCTTTTGCGGAATCTCGCCCGCCGAATGGCCCAGTGTGCGGCCGCCTTAAGAGCGGATAGGGGTCGTCGCATAGGTCGGAAACTTTTGCCCTCCCCAAACGGATCGGCTGGATCCGACCCTGAAGAAACTACCGTTTTGGCAACCTGGAATAAAATAAAGGCTTTAAGCTGCCAAATGAGCTGCCGAGTTAGTAAAATAGGTAGCTTTTTTACTCACATGCTTTCTTCCTTTGTGACTCACAGCCCCTAATTTGGGGAGGACAAGTTGCCCCAACGGTTCCTGGCCTCATGAAAAGTTGTGAGGCACCGCCCCCACGGCCCCAGAGTTGTGAGGGCAAGCTTCCCCCACTGCCTTCTCCCCCGGTTCCCGCGCCTATGTATGAATCTATGAAATTGTGTTGGTAGATTTCTGATTTCGATTCCTCCAGTTGGGGGGGGCTCAAATACATTACGAGCCCCCCCCCCCCAGCCGAAAAGTTGGAGGGGCTCAGCCCCCTCTAGCCCCCCCCCCCCCCCCGGTTCCCGCGCCACTGGGCTTTTGTATGTAACATTTGCATTGCTTTTGGAAAGTTTCAGTTAGATATCTTCAGAAATGGCAATGTTATCGGCTTTTGCATTTTACCGTAGTTCAGTTAATCACAATGTTCGATATTGCAAAGGCAATTTCTGTACGTTCTTGACATCGAAAACCAAAACGAATACACCTTTTTGCATTTGAATTCAACCATTCGCAATACTGTTTGAGGAGACATTTCGACAATCGGCATTGAGCACAACTACGAGTATTCCGACGTGGTGTGTTTCGTTTCAGCCATTCAGCAAAACAGATTGAACACTGAAATGAGTGATCTGCAAAACAGTTTAACAGTTCGCCAGACTTCGGCATAGAGGGAGCCAGCTCGGCATATGACGAATAGTTTCGACCATTGACGATTTGTTTTGCACAATGTTGAACCATTCGTTCAATGTCGAGTTGTAGAGGAAGATCGCTGAATAGTTTTGCACAATTGTGATTATTTGTGATCAGCCGCCCATTTGTAGCGCCACCTATATGGCGAATGTGTACAAATGTTTTGTCCAATGGTCAAAAGCTAACGCATAAAGGTGTAGTATCATCGTGTTCCAGAGCTCAAATTGCATCCGATGCACATCTTTTTTGTTGAGAATGTTCAACTTCAAAATTTGACCTTTTTGACCTCGCCGTGACCTGACCTTCATTTGTCGATTGGAAATAGTTTCGTAATACACAAGTTTTAATGACCGGATCTCCTTGAAATTACCAAAATCGAAAAAGCTAAATATTTATTCGTTGGTATTCGTTGCTATTCGATAAGATACAAAAAAGTGATGAATTTTCGGTCACGGACCTTCTTCTGATCTAACTATGTTTTTGAAGTACAATTCAAACGAATAGTTATTTAGTTACGAATAAATATTTAGCTTTTTCGATTTTGGTAATTTCAAGGAGATCCGGTCATTAACCCTCGCCCTGGCAGGGGGGTCGATGCGACCCCCCCCCTAAGGTTTTTCGAAGATAGCGTAAAAACGGCGGCGCGCAGCGCCGCCAAATTTGGCACAGCCTATGGGGCAACCTTTTTACATATGACCTGAAAATTTCAGGTCCGGGTGACCTTGGGTCAGGTCACCAGGTCAGAAAAACCGGTACAAGGTCATGGTCAAATTTCAATTTTATTTTTGCACCTGTCCAACTCACAGTTTTCCACTGATTTCCTTCAAACTTTCAGGATGTGCTAAGTTCACCGATTTGTATAACATATAGTTCGAGTTTTTTGAGGTCACTGACCTGAGGT